AATTTACCGGTCCCACTTACCCCTTCCACCTGCTTGATTTCCCTTGAGTTTTAGTTCCAGAGATGGTTGACTAGTGCCAATTTAAGTGTTTTGTAATTTTTTAAATCTCTTTGACCTTAGGCATAAAAGAAGAGAAGGAAATTTCTGTTGCAGTGTGTTAACTTTGTTTTGGTCTAGGCATTTGGAACTGGAGGGCAGGGCTAAGGCAGGTTGGGGCTTTAGGAACTCTCCACCCCTCGTTTCCTTAGTTGTCTTGAGGAGAGGCCCCTAGATGGTGGGCATCTTTGTCTGGCCTCCCCAAAGGTGACTACAGGCTCCATCTGCATGTGGGACTTCCACAATTGGCATAGGTGGGAGGCTGCAGCAGGCCCCTTTCTCATGTTCAGGGGCTGATGGGGTCTAAGTGCCCTGCAGCCAGGTAGCCCCTGGGCTGGTGCACGTCCTGTGGGGCCACCCCAAGGGCTGCCCAGAGATGTTAGATGACAGAGCCCTTGTGCCCTACCCTGTGCTGGCCCCTGCACAGGGGCACATGAGAAGGGTGATTATGTCTGGGAGGGCTGTAGTCCCCATGGCTAGTGGGCTGCATCTAGTGCTTGTGTGCAAACCTGAGTCCTGTGGGTTCCCAGGTGGCAGTATGGCTGCTGTCCTATTGTGCAGATATCTGGCCAAAGAAGCCAGCTCTGAATCTGGCCGCAGCACCCAAGGTGCTGAACAGGCCATCTCTGGAGGGACATAAGGACAGTGCTGGTGGTCAGAGGGAATGTCCTGAGAAAAAGATGGATGGGCAGCAACTCCGGACTTACCAGTGGGATATGTGGGGTGGTGTGGTTCCTAAGAGGTTCCGAGTGTATGCAGGAGCCTGCCTACTTCTGGGGTCTAGGGCACACTTAACGCCTCCTTGTCCCCACTGAAACAGGGGTCTTACCCACTTTTGGTAATGCTCTACTCTGTCCTGCTTCCTGGCAGGCTATCTCTTCTCTTTTTGGGGTGCTGGGAAGGTGCTTGGCTATGTCCCTGTGACCTCACTGTCTCCAGGCCCACTGGAGTGCAGAGCTGCTGCAGATGTCCCATTTTCTGTCTGTGAGGTCTCATGAACTGGGGTTGTTCCTGCACTGTTGCCATCCTGGCCTTATTCTCTGGCAGGACAAGCTCTGCTTGTGTGGATGGTAGGGCCATGTTCCCTGCAGCTCTTGGGGTCCCAGTGCTTGGGTGGCCAGACCCTGCCGGTGCTCTCTGGAAAGCTGGGCAGGCACAGAGGGGTCAAGCATGGAGGGCTCCTGGGCACTGCCTGGCGAGGGGTGCTGCCAAGCACAGGGAGGTGGTGTGGAGAATGCCTTTGGTGGCCAGTAGGGCCAGAGTGAGTCAGTGAGCAGCCTTGGACCTGAGGGATCGGGCTACCTGTGACCTCTTGTCTACTTCTGGGTACCACAACACCAAAGATCCCTCAGGTGGGTCTCAGGAGCCAGTTGGTGCAGCTGGATGCCCAGCCCTCCGTGCTGGGCTCAGCTGCTGGGAGTGTCCAGGGGCCTTCTACTCCTCAGCCTCTCTCCCACTCCACCAGTTCTGGCTGGTGTCTTGAACCTGGCAATTCTGATGGATGCAGCTTAGGGGAGGGGTGTACAAATCAGAGGGGCTTTGCGCAGGTGAGTGGGGTGCCATCTGCAGGGGCAGGAGTGCAGTCATTGTCTCTGCTGCTGATATGGAGGAGGGAGCTGCTTTATAGCTGCATGGGTGTGATGGTGGTGGGTGGGCAGGGCTGAGCTTGCTAGAGGTCAGGCAGTTCTCACGATAGACAGATGGCCTCCTCACCTGAAGGACATGGTGGGGACAGAGTACCTGGACTTAGACATATCTCAATGACATTATGGATGTCTCAGAGAAAATGCTGTCCATTCCTAGGAGAGGGACCCACAGAAGAGTAGGTCACTAATGGGAGCGTCTCCAACTGGCTTTGGAGCTCTGCAGTGACACCTTAGCTGAGGACAGTTGCAGGACTGAGGCAAGCCCATTAGTGTGTGCATACACACGTGTGCAAAAGCACAGGAAGGCTTTAGACAGTGCTTGAGGAGAAGGTGGGCATGGATTCCGCAGGGCCCTTGTTGGCAGTTTTTCTGCCCTTGGCCACATTCCCTATATTGATACTTCCTGTAGATCCCCTGTCCTTATATAGCACATAAGTGTTGGGTGGTACTTTCTCACTGGGAGGACGGCTTGGCCACGGGTGCAAACTCGATCCTAGAATTGTATGAAAGCAAGAAATGACTACTACTCAGGGTGGCAGTAGCAAAATTTATAAATGTCTTTATTTTCCACTCTCTTTTGTTGGAAGCTAATCATGCACATCACATTGATCAATAATCCTAACATCCTCTATTCTTATCTTAAACTATAGAAAAGAAAGAAAGCCCAGGAAAATGAGATAACCATCTTAAGACTAGCCTAAAGAAAGTAAGTCCAGGAAAGTGAGACAACCATCTTAAGACTAGCCTCAGGCTATTCATTTCTAGAGACCCAAAACAACTATACATTATCTGACTTCTATTGTTAAAGGTCAGGATAAACGGGAGTAAAACTTTTTCTTCTATGTACTCAATTAAATTTCTGAGAAACAGGCTCCATGACTGTTTTCTCATGGTTTGGAGGCCCTGCTGTTACGATGGAGTTTCACGCAGTTTCTCGCACATCATTACAGATGGAGTTTTTCTTTTCACTCACACCAACCTTTGAGTCATGTCCTCTGCACAGATGGGCCATTTCAACCCTTATCTGGCAGGCTGACTTGACTGCACAGTGGGGGTTCCATGTAGGAGGTTGTTAAGCCTGGTCTGCAGGCCCCCACCGTGCTTTCCCAGCTCGGGTAAGCCTCGACAAGAACACATAATACTCACAAGTCTTTTCGCTCTGTTTCTAGAATTAAAAGAGCATATTTCTTTTAATTTTGTGGGAGTTCACCCCACAAATGTGTATTTTTGGGTTTGGGATGCTTAGAGTGGGGGAGATTCTGTCTGTACTAATGAAACCATGCTGTCCATAGTGCCCTGTAGCTTATTACAAGTTTACTTTAAAAATACCAGAATATGAAAGGGTGAGGGGAGCCACCTATTTGTGAATTCTGGGACAGAGGTGCTGAATAGACAGACATGTGGTAGGCCTGCTGCAGGACATCCCGCTGCTCCCATGGGAGGAGGGTATGGCCAGCCTGGCACCTCTGGGCCATCCTGGTGGCTAAGTGGGCCTGGGCTGGGATGCACAGGTTTCTCTCAAAGGTTGGCATCTGGGATGTCTGGGGCTCATGGAGGGGCTGAGGTGAGGGTGGAGTCGTGTGCCCAGGAGGTGGCTGGGCCCCATGCTGTGTACTTTGTAACCCCCCAGGTGCCTTTTGGGCTCCTGCCTCAACTGAGTCCCTGTAGCAGTAGGGGACGGCCTGTCTCCACTCTGCTGCCCTGCAGTTTCTAGATTTTTGTGGTAAATGATATTCTAGTGCACTCCTTTCAGCTAGCAGTTTGCTCACATCTTATGTATGCATGTTTTTGAGACAGGGTCTTGCTCTGTCGCCTGGCTGGACTGCAAGGGTGTCATCACAGCTCACTGCAGTCTCAGACTCCTCTGCTCAGAGACCCTCCTGCCTCAGCCTCCCGGTAGGGGGGCTACAGGTGTCACCACTTCAAGCACTTATTTTCTTACTATAAATTCTTAGAACATTTCCTTGGTCAGAGGGGTTTTCAAGGTTTTGATTGAAAATGTTTGATTCAGGAAGAAAATATCCATGAAGTGTGTATTCAGTTAGTGTACGTCTTCAGAGATAGGCACAGGGAGTTATATCTTTTTCTAAATAACCAGAAAAGTGGAAGCAGGTAGCTCAGAGCATGGTATAGACTTTTACCCATGGAAAAAATCACCTTCACGGTTCTGACGTGAGGGAACCTTGAGCCCAAGACAGAACCCATGTGCCCTCATGTGGCTGAAGCCCTCAGCAGTCCTGTGTCTCCCATGCAGGTCCGAGTTCACAGATGCCATCCTGTCTGTACACCCCTCCGACGTGCTAGACATGCCTGTGGACCCAAATGAACCCACGTACTGCCTGTGCCACCAGGTGTCCTATGGGGAGATGATCGGCTGTGACAACCCCGACGTGAGTGTCCATTATAGCAGGGCCCCTGTGTGCCTACACACCGTGGGCACAGTCTGGGAGCTCTGCAGTTTCCTGTGTTTCACGTCACAACACAGAGGTGTTGATGGGGTTTTTCCCTTTACTTTGCAGTGTCCGATAGAGTGGTTTCACTTTGCCTGTGTGGACCTTACCACGAAACCCAAAGGAAAATGGTCAGTATGAGGGGCTGTTCTGTTTTCTTCCAGCCAATAGCGCATTGGGCCGCTGGCCTCCCTAGGAGGAGGCTCTGGAATGTGGGACCTGGGCTGCGTGGCTGGTGTTGAGTGGCAGCAGCTGGCGTGGCAGGACCCAGTGGCTTTGTGTGCACTTTCCACTGGGCCTTGTGAGCAGGGCTGTGGTCCAGCAACCAGTGGGTGCAGCTGTGTGTGGCCCCTGCCACTCAGTAGCTGTCCCTGGTGCTTGGGACCGAGCTTGCAGAGGGGCACTTGCCGCCTACCTCACCTAGGGCTGTTTCTGTTATGTTTATATAATGTTTACATGTATGTTACATACTAAAAACAGCCACCCTGACTCTTGTCATTTTAGGTGAGAAGTGAGGGGTTCTTGTCCCCTAGGGATGTTTTGAGAGAAGATGAGCCTGAACACTAACCTAGGTGTGCCCCGTGGGGTGCCTATAGCTAGAGGCTGGGCAGGGTGCCAGGTCTCTGTACTGAGTTGTTAACAGTGACTTTTTGCATTGATGTTTTAAATAAAAATGAAACTGGTTTGTTTGCATGTGTTAAGAACTGATGCATGCTGGGAGGATGATCCTGACATTGTGGAAATGCTAATGTCTAGATCAGCCCAGGGATCATCATCAGCAGTAACACATTTGAAACTCCCTGAGCCAGTCATGGTTGGTGGGAGCAAGTTATTACCATGTCCTTGGTGTGAGGGCAGTGGAGAAGGAGGGGGGTGGACCTGTGTTGGAGAAGGCTTCTGGCCCAGCCCCTCAGGGCCCGTGATGTTGACACCAACCTATTTTTCAGGCAGTACCCTGTGCTGTGTGTGCTGAGGGACAGTACACCTAGAGCTGACGTGCCAGCCCCTGGCTGTGCCCTGCACTGGGAACACTTGGTGGGTGGGACTGCAGGTGGGCATGGAGCACTTAGGCCCAAAGCAGCTCTATGGGAGGATTCCAGGTGAAGAGCAGGCATGTGTGGCTGGGGGCAGGGAGATCTGATCTGATTAGAGTTTGGATCTGGACACAGTCGGTTGGAGTTGTTGGCAGGACTCAATGGACAGTCCAATGGGCAGCAGGAAGGGAAGAGTTGTCGCTGTGTACTTGTATGTGTACAGAGCCATGCTGTGTGCCAGTGAGGGGAAGGACACAGGGTACGTGGAGGGACATGGGGGTTTCTCTGTGTCCTTTCTATATGTCACCAGGTGTATAGGCTCTTCCCTGTTCCCTAAGTTTGGAACTTTCTTGGCAGACACCTGATTGTAGTGTAGGCTGGGTCCTAGGGCTCCTGGCTCTGGGGAGTGTTAGGGCAGAGAGTTGTGGGCATAGCTCATGCCTGCTAGGAGTTAGGGGCATGTGAGTCAGCTGCCTCCCACATGGGACCTGCTAGAATGTCCCCTTGTTTCATGAGTGGCTGTTGTTATTAAGGACTGATTAAGAGCAGAGCCCTGAGTCTGAGCCTTCCTGGGCCAGGTTCATCAGTGAGCACTTGTGATACACGCAGGTTCCAGGGCCCAGCGCAGAGGTGCTGGGATCTGGAGTCTGTGGCCTGACCATGCCCCCATGATCTGAGCCCTGTACCACCTGACCCCATAGATGACCACAGTGGGCAGCAGTGTCTTGGTGTCATCTAGGGAGGAGCAGTCAACTTGCCCCAGGGGAGTGCTCATGTGCAAGGGCAGCGGGCAGCTTTGCTGACTGGTGCGTGTCTGTGGGCTTCAAAGCAGATACGCCAGGCAGAGCTCTCCACGTCCTGGCTGCCCTGCCAGCAGTGCTGATTCCGTGCTCCCCACTCTGTCTGTGCTGTCCAGCAGTGTCCAGCAGCTCTGGGAGGCTGTGGGTGTTGTGCATGCTGGTGGGAACAGTCATTGTTCTTTCTCACCGTAGGTTCTGTCCACGGTGCACCCAGGAGAAGAGGAAGAAGAAGTAGGAAGAGCTGGAAGGGGAAGTTTACATGCCCCTGGTTCACGCTGCAATATTTCCTTCCATTTTAAAGCTACCTTGTTTAATTGATATTTAATAACTCAGTGGCCAGTTGTAACTTGGATGTTTCCCAAGAAACCACTGAACTCCGTTTGCACAGAGGAGTGGTCTTACAGGGACTTGCTACAGTGACATTATTCTTGCGATGTTTTATATGAACCTTCCCCCCAGCACCAGGTGAGGCAGGTGCTGAGAGAGCCGTAGAGGCCTTGGCCTGCCGGGCACAGCCTTGCTGGGGCAGAGGCGTTTTAACCTGGTGTACTGCTACCACTTTGCAGCTGGAGCCATCACCTTTTATAGTCTGTGAGCAGTTTCCTAGGACTGTTGTGTGTGGCATGGGCTCCGCATGCCCTGACACCACTGTAAGCACATCTGTCACTCAGACACACATGTGGGGTCCAGTGCCAAGACTTCCAGGTGCCCCCTGCACACTCAGCTGATGCGGGTTCCAGCAACCACAGACTCTCAGTGAGGACCCATCTGACACATACCTGTGATAGGCGGGGCTCTCTTGGGAGGAGGTGGCCGTGGCTTACTGCACTGCCTTTTTAGTTTGGACTCAGTTTCTCCCTCCAGGGGATTCACCTTCCAGAGTAAACAGCTCTTCATTAGCAAATGGCCTGTCAGTGACTATGACCAGCACCATGAGAGATGCATAACAGCCAGGCCCGTGTTCTGTTTCTCTGGGATTCCTGACATTTTTACTGTGAAGATGAAATTACTGTAGTAGCATGAAGATTGTGGGTCTGTGTGTCTGTGAAGTGAGTCCAGTCCACTAGAGCTGACTGCACGCCTGTGCTGCATGCGGCTGGGTGGCAACTTGTGTTCGGGCACTGCCATGATGCGTAGGACTTGTGAATTTGTTGTGTCACAGTAGTAGTTATGGAATGAAGTTAGGAAAGTAGTGTACTTTTTGTTTAATCAGCATTCACCAAACAATTTTGAATCATCTTTTTGGTAGTAGGTGGGAAAAATGCATACATCTGGTCTGAGATACGTTTGTGTGGTACCTGAAGTGTGACTTCTGAGCATCTTAGACTCTGAAATCCCATAGCATGTGTTTAGGTTAGAGGACTCCTCAAGAACAAGGGGCTTCTGTCCTCACTCCAGAAACAGAAACCCATGAGAGAATTGAGATCTGAAATTCCCAACTTAAGAAAAGTTTCATTTTCTTTCTTTCTTTTTGAGACAGAACCTCAAGCTATCACTCTGGGTAGAGTGCCGTGGCATCACAACTCATAGCAACCTCAAAATCCTGGGCTTAAGTGATTTTCTTGCCTTAGCCTCCCAGTAGCTGGAACTATAGGCGCCCACCACAGTGTCTCGCTATTTTTTGGTGTAGTTGTCATTGTTTGGCAGGCCCTGGCTGGATTCAAACCCGCCAGTTCTGGTGTATGTGGCTGGTGCCTTAGCCGCTTGAGCTATAGGTGCCAGCCAAGTTTCATTTTCTTTATAAGGCAGGCCATCTGGAATGATGGACTTATTTCCTGCTGATGGCCACATGAGTATTACCCTTCCGTTCTCTAGCATCTCACTGAGGAAAGGAAATAAATCAGAAAGGAACTTGTGAAGCCCCGTATCTTGGAGCTACTCCCTGCACTGAGCTGATAGTGAGTGGGAATGAGAATGCAGGAGAATGGTCATAGGCAGAGTGGCGTCCAGGTCTGATCCTCAGCAGTGCTTAGGCCTGGAGGATGATTCTGGAATGCCTGTCCTTTCCTAGGAGTGACCAAGGGAGCCTGCTCCCAGGTGCCTGCTCTCATGTACCTGTGGGTATGTGTGGGTGGGCATGTGCAGGTCTTTCCCAGGTGGCAGGTGCCAGGCAGGAGTGTGGGAGGCTCAGCAGCTATCAAAGGGGTCCTTGCCAGGTTTCCAAGAGGCAATGCCTTCCTGCCACTTAGGAGGAGGAGGCCCAGGCTGGCATCAGAGTGAGCTGGCCTCACGGCTTTACACAATCCTCAGTCTCACCAGTGGCCATGAAACTAGTAATGTGGTTCATTTCTTTTGTTTTTTAATAACAGCTTTTTGTTAACATGGGTGTTTGAAGATTGTAGAGAACAAATGGTAGAAAAAATTTTCACTCTTTATGGTTTTTGTGGAGAGGGATAGGTAAGTATAGAGAGCTTGTAATGAGATGATGCTTGGAGATTCTTTAGAAGCTAATTTAATATTTGCACTTCACCTTTGAACAATTCACACCCACTGTCATCCCTGGGAAGAAATGGTGTTCGTTGGTGTGGTTTCTGAGGCTAGTCTGTGTCACCATTGTCTGGCTCTGGTGCAAGCAGCTTCTGTCTAGTGTGTGATGGTGTCATCCTCCTGGTCACTGTGAACCACCCAGGTATTGCTTCTGACCTTTGTTAAAGTTTCTGTGCTTATCTGTTTTTACTGTTTACCCAAATAATATGCATATGGTTTTGGAATAAACACAGAAAACATGAGCAGAATAGGGAACTTCCTTGGAATGCCTTTCTCAATTGTTAGCACTATCTGCGAGTAGAAGGACTTGGGAGTGGCCGTTTAGGTGAACAGGATATGTGCTACCCCTGGCCGGCTCCAGCCTTGGCCAGGACTGCAGGCTCTGCTGCCTGCACTGTCTAGGCCTTACCTCCGAAGGCCTGGTGCCTCCTTGATGGGGGTGATTCAGAGTTTAGTCTAGGACCAGTCCCCTATGCTTGCCTCAGATGTGCTGGGGAGCCAGCTCATCTCTTAGGTTGAGGGGTCTCGGCTAGTCCCAGCAGGTCACTCTGCAACTTTATCTGAGCAGAGGATGCAGCTCTTCCAGGCTGTGGGATTGACTCATAAGGGAAGGAGTGTTTTGTTCAGAGACACAAAATCACTTCCTTGTTCTCAGGGCTGTATTATCAGTGGTATGAGGAAATCCTCTGATTTCCTGTGGGAGAAGGCAAACTGCATTTAAAAACAAAGTTTTTGCTAAGCTGAATCCCTCAAATCTGTTCATGTGCTAGTGCTGCTGCTGGGACTCAGACACCAAGCCACGGTCTGTGTGACCATCTGCCCTGTGCTGGCTGGAACCCATGGCAGGTGGACCTGAGACCAATATTGGCCAGGGAAATAGGGCTGGGTGTGTCCACTGGGCCTGAGATAGCAAGAAGGAGCTGTGTAGACCAGTGATGGTGGGAGGGTTTGCTGGGATGTATGAGGAAAGCAGTCAGCTCTAAGTCGCTGCCATCCTAGTGGCTGTGGTGTGCATGGGCTCCTGACCTATAGTGGAGGGCCCTCAGTAGGGTCTGCTCTGAGCAATAACTTGCCCTGAGACCACAGAGCCAGGAGGCTCCCCTGTCATGGGACTTAGAGCTCAGGTCTCCATAGGTTAGAAAAACACAGGGAGGGATATTTATTATGGGAATTGAAGATTAAAGATTTTCCTAAACTTAGTTGACAGTGACTAGTCTCCATTACCTGTGCTGAGAGGAATTTTCAAATAGGGAAAGTATAAGAAAAGTGTTCTCACTCAGGAGAGAGTTATATGAAGTTTCTTTCTTCCTGTGTGTTTTGTGGTGTTCACCTTTAACCACATTTCATCCAAAAAGATGATGCAGCTTTAACATAAATGTTACATTTTATTTTCAAGGAATTATCTATGTTCCCTTTGTAAAGGAAAGATAATATTGTAAATCTTTTTATTAAATAATGTAAAGATGTATATCTGTATTTTTGGATCATGTTATAGATTATGGATATATTGTTTAATAAATAAAGTATTTTTTTGAACAAACACTTGACAGTACATAATTTTGGGAAACAGGTGTAAGGTTTCATTGGTGTGCCCAGAGATAAGCACCCCTCACCCTGAATCTTGAAGTGGTGTCTGATTGTAGCACAAGTGTTGGGAGGCGTCACTGGCCCTGGCCTGGGTAGCACCCTTAGCCTCATCTTTGTTGGCTACTCAGGAAGGTCAGTGGCCAGTGCTGGGTCTCCGCTATGTTGTAGCCTCAGAGGTTGATCCCCAAGCTCACAGGATTTGTGGAAG